CAAACTACCTGAAGAAAGCTGTATACTGTCACACATGGCAGTTTACACTTCTAAGAGAAATGAGTGGGAAACAGAATGTCCATGCCGGTTTAAGATATTGAACAGCTGAGTGTTTCCAGTTGGATGACAGACATATATACCAATCATATTATGTTAAGGCTTTTTCCACTCCCCTTTCGTCACATGGTAGCATATGTCCTGACCTGTAGAAACAACTCTCCTGTGGCATCTTGTTGACTGTGCTTTTCCCTTCTTGGAGTAAAGAAAGGAAAGAAATGTTGTTAATACTTGTGGTATCTGCAAAGTTTATGTGCGCAGATCTGTGTTTGCTGAAAGCCAAGGTAACTTTTGACTTTCATTGCATCCATCAAGAACAGGTCGTCGCATCACCTCTGCCACTTCTATAAGTCTCTCTTCAGAGGTCACATTTTCAAAGGCAACTCAAACAGCCTGCCCAGTTGAAATTTCGTCAGAGTACACGAGATCACTTGTCTTAGAATATCTCGGCCAGAAGTTGATCCTGGACTGGAAGTGCTTCACAAGTTTGTCCTTCAACTTTTATGTCTTGTAGTACAATGTACTTGTAAAACTCTGGATAATTTGTTTGCATGAAAGTGCAATAAATCTCTTTCAAAAGACTAATCCTAACAACAGGGGCCAGCGCAATAACATGTTCTTCCACAAACTGACAGACGTGCTGAAAAGCCTTGGAGTGTGCTTCTTCCTCTGCAGCTGGAGCTTTCTTTCTTTCTTCAGCTTCTGTAATTTCTTCTCCATAACAGTAGTTAGATGTAGAAACTTGTGAACGTCGATCCTCCTTATGTGTGAAAGCTTTTCTACATGGTTCATGATACCATGCCTCTTGGGCAATGAGAACAGCATTTTCAATTTGGCCCCTAAGTTTTGAGTCAGATTTCCTGTTTACAACAGGCGTGTTGAAAACGATTGCTTTACTTTTTTCCAAGTGGAGCAAAACCATTCTTCAAACTTCTTGTGCTGATTTGTCAGACTCTCCTGATGAATGCCTTTTTCTTAATTAAACTCCTCAAATTGATGAATGTATTGTAGCAGTAATCATGAAACCCATGTTGAGCAGAGTCAAACTCAGTCGGTATTCTTTCACAAATTGAGGATAGTCTATCACTGTCAGTTTCTGCAAGACACCGTTGTGTTTTTGATTTTTGAATGGTGTCCCAGCGTCTCTCAGTGAGGGGTTTTGTTTGATCATGGCCTTTGAAGTTACTGTTATG